GTTTCTTACTGACAGATAAGATGCTTTTGATGGTGAACTTATAATTTAAGTACTAATCTCCATCAAAGCTCACGTTACTTCATTTCCCAGGACAAGTTATCAGAGTTTTAAATAAATTATCAGTGTTTTATGGTACATTATTCAGAGCTCATGTCTGATAGGCCGTTGGGAGTCCTGGGGTTCCTGACTATTTCATTCAGTTAGGCTTTCAAAGATCTAAAAATGGAGTTTCTCCAGATTATGATGGTGCAGTGGCAATCGTTATTAACCATACGAACCTTGAATTTGAACACATCATAGCTGAGAGGACGTACATTAGATATTGAAAACTTGGAGAAAGTTAGTAATGAGGAACGCGAGAACATTTTACTGAGACTGCATGACTCGTCAATGAAAGTGTGTTCAATCTAAGTAACTTTTTTCTTTAGCCCAAAAGTGTTCTTCGAAGTCTCATAAAAGCATGCCGCTGATTATCGCATTACGACTAGCCAGTATAGACAATAATTTGACTTCTGCGTAAGATTTTATAGATTCAGCGGTCATACCGTGGTAATTTCACAACATAAATTTAGGTAACACTGACAAGTGCAATTATTCCAGCCTAGACACAAATCGCACAGTGGGTGACTGTTTCTAATCTCTTTTCCTAAGACAACTACTACAAATTTATTGTTGATATTATGGATTCGACAGAATAATTCAGCATGTCAGAATTTTAAGTACAATGTGTCATCTGAAGATCAAGTAGACATACCTTTAAGTCGGTTTCCACTTTTACCAACAAACAACTGTAAGTTACCGACCTGATAGTCTTTAACCCCCTGGAACAAAGTGGTCATGCCTTCATTTCACTTTGTCTCTTCATAACTAATTTGTCGGATGAATGTACTCAGATTATCTTGTCTAGGTAAATATGACTCCACCAACACAGATAAACCGTCAATTATTATTGTTACCATCATTATTTTCGGGTTTTTATTTATTTAGTAATTTATTCGTTTATCTCAAAAGTCTGTATCCATTATTATCAAGGTTGGACCCTTTCACTAGGTGTTCATTCCTTTTCTCTCTTTTTTTCCTCCTAAATAAATATTATTCTTAAGGTTACGAAGTTTTTGATTAAGATAATGACTTGTGTTAAGCTTAAATCAACTCAGACTCCTTTTATCTTCACTATGCATATATGACTCATACATATTGATTATCCTTTGCACTTAATTGAGATTTTCATAGCATCACTCTAAACTATGACTGCACAAACACTTATTCTAACATCATATCCTACCGCAGTAATAAGTTGTTTATTCAATAATTTGTTTTTATTACTCATTTTGCGATACATACATAGTTGTTTATTCTTGTTCTGTGTTCATAAACACGCTTATTAAGCCATTGACATATTTCGCATCTCCTTTATTTCTATGTCCTTAGTTTTTTCTTTCCTTCTTCAAAATTCTTGCCAATTACACAGAACCTGATTTATCATTACTATTCTATTATTATTTTACTTTCCTTTCTCAAATATGCCAAACATAATGCTAACATTATTGAAACCTGTGTATTATTGCATTTCTGAAGAAACCCGAAATGGTTTCTTCACAACACTTATGTACCCATAAGATGTTAGTGAATAATCTGAATAAAGACACTGTTTTGTAACGGGCAGTGTCCGAATAGATGATACTGATACATAATGTGCTACGAGCTTACCCCTCAAGTGACTACTCAAACGAGAACACAAAAGTGAGTGATGATGTGAACTGGGCAACAAAATAAAATGCACAAATATTCACTGGTATATAAACCACTGTAACACTTAGGAAACTAATCTGTTTCTTAGCCAATGAAATGCATTTGACCTTTAGGTCAATTCTGATTGCCATCGGTTGACCTGCTCATTAGACTACTTCTGTTTGGCTCACCATGCCACTTTCCTCATGCTCATCGACCAACGCAGTCCCCTTTCTCGCAGTATATCAGACGCAACGGGTCGTTCTCTTTGTGAATTTTACCACCTGAAAGCACATCAAGAATGAGGTCCCATCTTAAACTATGATTGCCGAGACAATGAAACTGGTGACTGATCATACCACGTACTACCCGATACATTTGCTCAGAAAGTGAAGTTAAACGAAAAAATCCAAAGGTCTCGTCTGGCGAAGTCAACGGAACGTCGTCATGAGTGTTTTTGTGGCTGTATGGAGGAAAAGACACACGACAACTGAAATATCTTAGACCAATATGTCTGAATGGCATATTTCATCCTCAATTTTTGTTTCCCTTCGCTACTCTTTTTAAGTGTTCCTTCGTGAAAAAGAACCTAGCTCCTGACTGCTTACTTCGAAGTCACGCCATTAGTAGCTCTTCTAGAGCTACTGCCCATCTCAATCCCGGATAAAGGAGGATTGGGAATGAGGTTGACGCCAATTCCGTAAAAAAACAACGTTGATAAAAACAGTAACCAGGACAGACCATTTAAACTCTGTCCTGTGAGTTGCAGGATCTCCACTCAAAAGAATTATGACAACTGATGGTGAAAACCGAAATTCTTCACGAACGCGATGCCCCTTCTAACAATCGGAACAACAATAGAACGTTCACGCAATGTGGTGGACTGGAAGAGCTAATCAAAAAGCCAAGGAAATAAGGAGATACAAATTGGCTGCACTTGGAATCAGCGAAACCCATTGGACACAAGCTGGACAGCAAAGGCTAGATACGGGAGAGATGCTACTGTACTCTGGTCACGAGGGAAAAATGCTCCACACACTCAGGGAGTTGCTCTAACACTGTCCAGAGAGGGACGAAATACACTTGTAGAATGGGAATCTCACGGATCTAGGATCATCAAAGCATCGTTCAAAACAAGGAAGGAGGGGATCACAATCAATGTCATGCACCCACAAATGATAGCAATGACGACGATAAAGATCAGTTTTACTGGAGGTTGTAATCAATCATAGCTAAGTGCCCAAGAAAGGACCTCACCATCCTGATGGGAGATCTAAACACTTAAGTCGAAGTGGACAGCACAGGATATGAAGATATAATTGGACGACATCGACTAGGAGAGAAATGAAAATGGCGAGATTTGCAAATCTATGTGCAATCAACAAATTGGCTATAGGCGGCACAGTATTTCCACACAAGTCAACGTGAGTCTCACCGGATCACACCACAGAGAAGCAGATATATCATATTTGTATCAACTAAAAATTCCGAAGGACAATGGAAGATAAGGGAACAAAGAGAGAGGAGCTGACATAGCTTCAGATCACCACCTGGTTGTGGCCAAGATGAAACTGAATCTAAATAAAAACTGGGAAGCTGTGGAAATAGCAGTAGAAGGGTTCAGGACAACAGTTCTACGGGTTAATAAAAAAATCAACATGAAATATAGCTCTTAATAACAGGTTCCAAACCATACAAGATCTAATGAAAGAACAAGAAACTACTATGGAAGACAACTAAAAAAGGGATCAAAAAAGTACTAACGCCAGCGTATCAGGAGGTTCTAGACCTCGAGAAGTGTCATCATGAGGAATGGATCTCCATCGAAACACTAAACGAGATTCAAGAAATGAAGAACAAGAAAACAGCAATTAACAACAGTCGAACATGAACAAAGAAATTCAAGGTACAGGCTGAAAACATAGAAGCAAACAATCAACTAAAGAAGAGCACTAGAGCTGACAGACAGAAATACGTTGAAGACCTAGGAACAACAGCGGGAAAAGCTGCAAGAGAAGGAAATATGAAACAACCATATGACATAACGAAGAAACTGGTAGGGAAATATAGTAAATCGGAGAACCCGTTTAAGTACAAAGAAGGGAAGACAATCATTGACATTCAAGAACAGAGGAGGGGAAGGGCGGAACATTTTGAAGAACTCTTGATTAGGCCAGCTCCATTAGATCCACTGGATATCGAAGCACCACATACAGACCTTCATATAGATGTCACTCCACCAACGATCGAAGAAGTCAAGATGGCCATCAGACAAATAAACAGTGGGAAAGCGGCAGCACCTGACAACATACCAGCTAAAGTCAGACATTGAAGCAACTGCAAACATGCTCCACGTTCTATTCAAAAAGATTTGGGAGGAAGATCAAGTCCCGATGAACTGAAAAGAAGGAAACCCCATCAAGACTCCACAGGAAGAAGATCCGAGCAAATGTGAGAACTACAGAGACATCAGTTTGCTGTCAGTACCAGGAAAAGTTTAAAACAGAATGTTGCTGAACCGGATGAAAGACGCAATAGACGCTCGACTTCGAGACCAACAGGCTGGATTCCGTAAGGATCGGTCGTACACAGACCAAACCACAACACTATGGATCACCGTTAAACAATCACTTTGTCTATTCTGATTGCCTTGTCCCTATACCATACTGTCACCGATAATCTAATACGCATTCACAAGATGTCAAACTGAGTATCTAAACATGACAAGTCATAATTTCTGATGACGTATGATGGAACCAGAACATGATTTTTATTTTATTTTATTTAAACACATAAATATTGGTACAAGGAAGCACCGGATACATATGCGCCATACAAATCTCATTCGATTTGCTTGAGGGCTGTGATACTGCCCAGGTGCCCGAACTGAAGCAGGTGGTTTTCTTAGGGGCCCATACCCGGAGCCTTTGACCGAAAGGTCTGATCCACAAGGCAGTGGAGCATCGTGAGGAGATGCAGTCCCATGGTAGCCGTTGACCAGCAGCAGGTTCAGTCGCCATTCGTTCCATCAGGATCCTGGAGCCCATGTGCACCATTGGTTTGGAATCAGGTTTTCCAACTCCCCTAGGTGGACCCTCCATGTCCACCAACCCGGTTAAAGCGCCGGACATTCGCTTTTCGTCCTCTCACTTTCGTAAACAACACCCCTGCCACGAGAAGGCAGTGAGTAGGACTTCCCTGTCAGAGGCTATACATTCGCGTGGCCATGTGAGAGCATTTCGAGAGGGAGAGTGGGCTCTCCCCACTCTCGGCCATACCAGGGCATTTGGGGGAACCAGAACATGAAATACAACCGTTACGTATAAACCAAGTTATGGGATTCAAAAGTCGAACGCAATATCACAGTAAACTCATAACAGAACTAAGCACTTTTTTCAAATAACTTACTAATCCAGCCTACAACAATCGAGGAAAACAAAATGAAGTAAGAAAATAATTTATACGAATATTCGTCAAGATTAAAACGAATAGCGTTGGAATTATTTAAATTTCAACCGCCGAGATTATTTCAAATATACTTTTTCACATATAATGAACTAAGAAAGTTTATTGTAGCTTTGACTGACGATCATACAATGTGAAAGTCATGTTTATTCATAAAAGAATACGAGTTTTGTGATGACAAACTCACCTTGGAGTACACTTATTAAGAAATTGAATATGGAAAGTTTTTTAAAACGGAAAATCCTATTTAGCTAAATCTGATCAAATGTCTTAAAAGTATTACATTGCATACAGAAGAAACAAATAGTTGTTCACATTGACCAAATATCATCCTTTTGAAAATATTTGCAAGAGAAAACACAAAATTATACAATTTCCATCAAACCTATTGAATTTCTACAGAAAGATGGAAATAATTCTAATTTGATTGGTAGTTTTTTTCTTTCATAAGTGGAAGAATGTTGACTATTTTATACGATGAAAAATGATAATTTCAAGCTTTACCAAAATTAAAGAACTAAGAAACAGTACGACACCATAATGTGAAGTGACTAAAATAAATCTATTTGTTTGTAAGCTTCTACATTCCTTCACATATAGGAATTTAATTTCAGCCAATAAAAACTAACTTTTTATAAATAAAGAAGGCAGAATATTCTGTTTGAACCACATTATTGCATATAATAATGACAGTGAAGTAGGTTGTTGATGAGTACTATTGGTACCATATTGAAATAGTTCTTCAATTCGTGACACAGGCCATTCTATCACTTCAATATATTCACCTTCTTCATGTAATCCACCACCGGCGTTAGGAACTTTTTGATTTTCATGCACTTCAGCATAGTATAAAGTTACTTCAGTGCCTGCTAATCCAACACTTGAACTGGAATTAGATAATAAAACAAGTTGAGTGAAATCCATGTATGTCATTATTATCAACAGATTAATCGTAATTATATGTAACCAAATATAAATCAATGTCATCTGACAAATGTATAAGGTCGATTTTTGTTAATAAGTTTTTATGAGGACTAGTGATACATATTATATGACTATTTAATATTGTAGGGAACGAGAAGTCAGATGGAGAAGATCAATTTATTGTTTAATGCAAAATTACAGAATGCTCTCTTAAAATATCGAATACATAATTTGTACACCTTTCATCAGTTATCTACGACTAACCCTTCTCACGTTCCTTTATCACATCGTGCAGCTAATACGAACAACTCGAGTACGCGGAACATTATTCCCCCAAATGCCCTGGTACGGCCGAGAGTGGGGAGAGTCCGCTCTCCCTCTCGAAATGCTCTCACATGGCCAGTGAATATATAGCCTCTGCCAGGGAAGTCCTACTCACTGCCTTCTCGTGGTGGGGGTGTTGCTTACGAAATTGAGAAGAAGAAAAGCGAATGTCCGGCGCTTTAACCGGGTTGATGGACAAGGCGAGTCCACCTAGGGGAGTTGGAAAACCCTGATTCCAAACCGATGGTGCACATGGGCTCCAGTATCATGAGGGAACAAATGGCGTACGAATCAATCGTTGATCACCGGCTACCATGGGACTGCATCTCCTCACGATGCTCCACTGCCTTGTGGATCAGATCTTTCGGTCAAAGGCTCCGGGTGTGGGCCCCTTAGAAAACCACCTGCTTCAGTTCGGGCACCTGGGCAGTATCACAGCCCTCAAGCAAATCGAATGAGATTTGTATGGTGCATATGTATCCGGTGCTTCCTTGTACCAATATTTATGTGTTTAAATAAATAAATTCTCCTGAAACCACGCTCTAAACTACATGTAGGAGCTTTTAACGTCCGAACACTGTGCCAAATAAAACAACAAGCTTCCTTAACTAGGACTTTAGAATCACGCGCCATCGGTGTATGCTGCGTCTCCGAAACGCGCATACAGGATCTGAGTAGCGTCATTCATTTTACCTCACCACATGAAAATAAAGAACCATCTCGATTCACGCTTCGTGTATTTGGAAGCCCTGACGCTGCTTCCCGTAACCTGACTGGTGTAGGTATAGCATTGAGTCCTAGGGCAGGATCAGCTCTCTTAGAGTGGATCCTAGTAGACAGTCGTCTGTGCGATGTCCGAGTAAACGGAACAGTAATGACTTGGAAAGATAAGAACACTCGTTGTTGCCTCTTCGTTGTCTCTGCCTACATTCCCAATGACTGTAGGTCAGATGCGATAAAAGATGAGTTTTACGGAAAGTTTTCTGACCTCCTTCAAAAATTTAGGCACTTTGATGTAGTAATAGTGGCCAGTGACTTTAATGCTCAAGTAGGTAAACTAAGCGAAAACGAAAGACACCTGGGTGGATCTTATGGCATCGTGGCTAAAGGAACAGATAATGGTGACCATCTGTTGCAGCTATGCTCAGATAACGGCCTTTTTCTTGCAAATACTAACTTTAAACATGAGGAAAAACATCTTTTGACATGGCGACCCCCGAATTCGTCCCAACGTTGGACCCAATTAGATCACATCGCTACCAGCCACTGATGGAGGGGCTCGATAAAAGACTGTCGATCATTCTGGAGCACATGTTTAGATTCAGATCATGCTCTAGTGCGAGCACGTATCTGTCTGCGTCTTACTGGACGTAGGAAAGACACTGCAGGGAAGCCTCTAAGGGTTCTACTTAATGATAGGCAAGCTAAGAATATATCTCAGGAACAACTGGAAAAACAGTTAGGCAGACATGTAAGTTGTGCCCACCTCGAGGCAGCGTGGAATGACATCCGAAAAGCTGTGGAAACAGCAGTGATATCCGCTAGTAAGGTAAACCATAACGTTAGGGAGAAACAATAGATCTCGGCAGCATCTACCGCACTGATAGATGCTCGTAAACTCATCCCACCTGGCTCTGAACATAAGGAAGAGCGGAGTCAACTTAAGCGCAGGCTTATAAGAAGCTTACGTAATGATCGTGAACAGTGGTGGGTAGCGAAAGCAAGAGAGATGGAAAAGGCAGCGGCAATAGGTAACAGCAGATAGCTATTCAGACTTGTCAAGGGAACCAGTATTAGGAATCTAACTGTTAGCGAAACTATCTCGGAAAATGATGGACATATTATTCACTCTCAAACCAGGAGATTGGATCGATGGGTATAACACTTTAGGGATCAGTTCAACTGGCCTTCAGCCACACTTCAGTTACCCACAATCTCCAGTCGACCTGAATGGCAAGTTGGTATAAGTCCTCCAACCCTCTGTGAGGTTGAAAAAGCTATAGGGAATCTGAAGCGAGGGAGAGCAACAGGCCCTGACAGGTTTGCCCCTGAGATTTCCAAGGATGGCGGTCCAGTATTAGCAGTGAGATTGACTGAAGTCTTTGGAAGAATCTGAAAACCGGACGTAATCTCATCTGACTGGTCTCAATCACTGATTAGGCCAGTCTATAAGAAAGAACAAAAGTCCTCTTGTGACAATCACAGAGGAATCAGTTTGACTAATATAGTCTAAAATATCAGCTTTAATACTTCGACGCCTAACTAAAGCTCGTGAAGAGCAGACTAGAGAAAACCAGGCTGGTTTCCAACCTGGACGTGGCTGTATGGACCAAACATTTACATTACGTCAGATGCTAGAAAATAGACACACATTCGGACGCCCCACAATAGTAGTATTACCCAAACTCAAGGCGGCATTTGACTCTGTTGATCGTAAAGTTCTATGGTAGTACCAAAGAAGTACATTAACCTTATACAGGCTCTCTACTCGAACAAAACTGGCCGAGTGAGAGCTTATGGCGAACTGCCATCAGAATTAATTACCTTAAGTGGTGTTCTTCAGGGCTGTCCACTCTCTCCATTCTTGTTTAATTTTCTCGTTGATATGGTTTTAAAGATAACACTTTCCTCATCTAAATTTCCAGGAGATTCACTTGTTGACTTAGAATATGACGATGACATAGTTTTATTTGGTGAAGACGCTGACAAAATGCAGAGTCTTCTGACCACCGTAAGCAAAAATGCAAGCACGTTTGGGATGCAATTCTCCCCCTCGAAATGCAAAATGTTACTTTAGGGTTGGGTTTCATCGGCAGCTTAACTAATGATAGGGAGTGAAGTAGTTGAACGTGTCGACCGCTTCACTTATCTTGGGAGTCTTATCAGCCCTTGTGTTCTGGTGTGTGACGAAATCTCAGCACGGATAAAGAGGGCTCGACTAGCTTTTGCCAACTTGCGCCACTTATGGCGTAGACGAGATACCCGCCTACCAACCAAAGGACGGGTTTGCTGCTCAGCAGTTCCTTCCGTCCTACTTTATGGCAGTGAAACATAGCCGAAAAGAGTAGAGGATATTCGTAGGCTGCTAGTATTCGATCATAGGTGTCTTCGAAGCATTGCTCGTATATCCTGAAACCACCGAGTAAGTAATGCAGTTGTTGGGAAATGGGTACTAGGTAAAGATGGCAAATCGATTGATGAAGTAGTGAAATTTCATCAATTGAGATCGATGGGACACGTGTTACGTATGCCCAACCACTGACTGCCCCGACGTGCGATGTTTTATGGTATAGGAGTAAGTTGGAAGAAAGCTAGGGGCGACCAGACCAACACGTAGCACAAATCCATGAAGTCAATGACAAATGGACTGAGCCATGTTGGTAGGTGTGGACTGCCTGGTTGGGATCCGCGAGATGATGGCAACTGATGGTTAGAGACCTTGAATGACAAGGCTTAAAACTGTTTGTAATGACGTAGGTGCATCCACTCCTTGTGTTCTCCCGAATTCTAATCTTCTGAATTCTTCATGTTCTTTTTTTCTCTTTCCAAATTTATTTCACTGGATTATATTTCTTCAATAATATCTTCAAACCCTAATCTTTCGATTGCTACTTATAATTTTACTACCTATGCCTGATCTAATGACATAAGTGAGAAAAACTTTCTGATTTGAGATTACAACATGGACCGAATTCGCTTTTATTTCGTGTAATAATATAAGGAGTCATAAATTATCGTACGCACGAACAGGTAACTTACTAAAACGAATTGATTAAATGCAAGGAATCTTCATTGATTTTATAGCCACATTCTTCCAAAACTTCTTGAACAGCATATAATTTTGGATTAGTTTGGACTCCGTCGATTATTCCAGCACATAGTTCTAATGTTTCCCCAATTTCGCTAGATGGGAGATCAATCTCATTGCTTTTAACTGGACCATCTGTTACACTTCGAATAATTCCAAGTTTTCTCAACTTTGAATAGTATACAACTAAAATAAAATCTCATACTGAATATTTTGAACTACTTCCAGAATTTGAGAAAGTGCCATACACGAAATTAAAACACATTAATGATTATATTTCCACATTTCTTACTACGACAGTTCGAATGACTCAGGGACGAAGTTTGATTGCGGCACTAAATGATGTTAAAGTGACGGTAAGTTTTAACAAGTAATTAAACAATATTACAGGTCTCCCGCTGACCCAGTTTAGCACATTGTACTTAAGTTGAAATTTACAAGATCTGGGACTGTCGACTGAGAGAAACATAACGCTACTGGCTGATATTGTTTCCTAAGTTTTCAAGGGGGATTATGAACAGAGGATGTTTTTAATAACTATTGGAAACGAAACACCGAAGGTAATGCAACTCACTTATTAGGTATTTGTTAGTACAGTTGATTATGAACCGCTACTTGAGGAGTAGTGATACTATATGACAGCCTAAGCGGAAGTACATTGATCTGAATCCAAACGTTTAACATATCAACTGAAAGCTGAATAGTTTAACCACTAGGTCATAGCTTCACTACAGAACCACTGTACTAACTTTGTAGATGATGTTGTTTGTCATAGAAGGGACGTATAAGACCTCAAGAAAACTTAAGCTTCTCAGCATAAAAACTTGTATTATTATCCTTCCGTTATGGAAATTTTGTCCAATCACACCTAGCTGGCTCATAATTCACGATAACAGGTGTTGGTGATGTTTGTAACCTTACTGTACATCAACTCAGACAGAGAACAATAATCAGCAAAAACTTTTGTAACACTTGAGGATACAAATCAAAGTATAAATAAACCGGGATTAAAGATTTATAAAAAAAGGCCTGCTATCCACCTGTGGAAAAACGGAGATGTGTACTGACTTTGTTCAACTTTATTTCAGGTACACGCAAAAGTGAGCAATAACAAAGTTGCTTGGCAGTTAGTTTAACAAAGTAGACTCTAAATGAGTATGGAATAAATGAAAAATAAAGGAAATACATGCAACGAAAGACAATTAAATTCTTTTTGTAGACACTTCTACTGATTAACCCATCCTCATCGCAGACATAATAGTACAAATACAGCCTTTTGATAATCATTTTGAAATTTACTGAGAGGAAAGCAGCTAAGGTATTATTTAAATATTAAGCTGAGAAGTAATAAATTTAGCGGGATGTCACTGGTTATAGTAATGAGATGTTTTAAATCAAATCAGCTTAGAACGACAGATTGATCATAAAGTTTTTGATCAACCAATTTGTCAAGAGAATATGTTGAAGGCCCTGTCAAGAAAAATGAATATAAGTACCTAATGTTGAAATTAAAGCACTTAAAATACAGAACGACCTTTCTATATAAAGTTCATCAACAAATGTAACATGAATTGTATAAAAACATAACTGTGATAGGTGATGGATCAGGAATAAGTGAGATAACATCACTATTGGAGAAAAATATCTTAACGACTACTAAAAAATAAAGTGCAACATACCTGGGCGAAACTGCTTTACTAGAAGTAACGACTTCTTCTCGGAATGATACAGAAGTATTGAAACACTGGATGTAATCAGGAAATTTAGAAAACTGACCTATCATGTGCTAAAATACCATCCCATGTGCGTCGCCGACCATCCTATAAGCCAAAATAATTGAGGACAAAACGAATTAATAAGTATACCCATGGATCGAAAATAAATTTACCATGGTGGTCGCAAGACTGACTACCTTGCTTTAGAGTGATTTTTATCTACTATCAATTAAGGGACGAGCATACTGCGCAGCAGTTCGCTCTGTTCTACTTTACGACTGTGAAACGGCCATTGAGAGTAGAAGATACTCGTAAGTTACTAGTATTTGACCACAGATGTCTTAGAAATATTGCTCACATCTGCTGGGTAAGTAATAGTGAGGTTATCTTTCCTCTTTATCTTCCCTTAAACCTTAAGATTAAAATTGCTTCATAACGTTCTTCCTTCCTATACTATATCCTTATATACAAACTATCTTTTATATACTACCACCACTAAATTAACTATTTCTATGAATCCGGTGTTCATCTTGTTGTGCTAACGAGGTATGGCAACTTGGACCGATGCATATATGTGCCTGGTCCTACGTTGTAGCTGACTGACTATCCAGGAACTGTTCTCACCAAACATGTGACAGAAGTCCAAGCATTCTCACGATAAATCTCACGCACAAATAGTGAATGTGCTATTAGATTTCATTTGACAAGCCGTGGAAATACATGTAATATTATCTTGAGGAATGTTCTCTTTTTTTATTTGCTTGGGTTGCCACTTCAATTAATAATATTAACCAATATACATAAATATGGTATGTTGAATATTCAACATACCTACCTGGATAAAGTTCATTCGGTATGGCTTAATGTATTTGGATGGTTCTTTAAGTTCGAGTACATTTAGGTTAGAAATTTTGCGAGACATTTATGTACGATCTAGAGCACACCGTAGGACTATTTAGTTTTTCTTAAGGTCCAGCAAATGATAGGTTTATTGAGACTGCTATCACGGAGAGTATAAAAAACGTCAGATTGGAGATGGCAGCTAAACAATGTAGCACAGATATCTGCAGGTAAAGTGCAGAGAGTGTGAAATTATAGACCAAAAAATCAAATTTACCTCTTTTTAAAGCAATATTGGACACTGCATTTCGCGCGTTTTGGGTCGTCGTGTGTTATATGTGAACTTACGTTTTAAGTTTATTTATACCTAAGAGCATTGCAAAGTTTTGAAGACACCATAATGAATTTGTATACCCTTCTAACAAAGTTATCACTTCTCTTGAATAACAATAATCTTGGAAACTACGCGAAGATTAAAAGTCAAAGTCTACTAGAACTAATCGATTTTTTCCTAACAATGCATCTTCAGTTGCATAGTGACATTTACTATACTACATATATATTAAGAAAATTCCAATGAGTAATAATTAACTATTTGTAGTTTTGATTACCAGTTGAATGAAGTAAGATTATCTTCACAACAGATTGAAATTAGATGAAGGTTGTTTGATGACTAGAAAACATCAACCTGCTAACGGACTGTCTAGCAATTAATGACCAAAATATCTATCATATCTGTTTGAATCACAATTAGTTACTTACTATTTTGTGTGACTTCAATGAACTTGTGTTTGCGTGTGTGTGTGACCGTTTTGCAATTACCTGCTTATATTGACAAAAACTGCAGTATTGTACGTTCAAAATATTATCAACTTATTCGATTTACATTTCCCCCGATTTCTGTCCACAGGCATAATGGTTTCATACCCATTGAACTCTGCACAATCGCTTCTCGAACCTTCTTCCGAATCTTCAAATTATAATCGGGAAACGAAAACTAAGAAAATTGAAACCAGATGATCATATTAGAACAAGAGATGAGTGAAGTAACAAATGGAATCATACATTTTAGAGGACATTGTACAAGATATTGTGATCAGTAAAAAAGAATATTGACAATGGACCAGCTGCAGATCAAAATTACTACACTATTGGTTTATAAACAAAATAAAGTGCGGTTCATTAAACCTGGTTGACGTTGGTATACAATCGTTATAATATAACAACACTTGTAATATTATTTCGAAGAATTATATTTCTCTTGGAGTGTTTATCTTCATGTTGTGCACATACCATGTGAAACTCTGCGTATATTAGTTGGTTTAATTGTTTGTCGTTGCTCACAATAGTAATATAAATAGACCATTTGTACTTTAGAGGAAGTTGATAATTTTTGTGGATTGATGAATTTAATGTATGTATAGTATTGGTGCTAAATAAAGGCTCCTCTGTACATTATTCGGTTTATAATATATCCAATTGTGTTCGCGTTGTTGTGCTTGAATTTAACGCTGGTGCACTCAGGACTACTGGACAAACCGAATTCCATCGTTTCTAATTATCATGGTACGACAAGACTTGCTTGAATACAACCGACGATCAGGATTTAATAGAAGCAGGGTTTTAACTCAAATTGGCTCATTTTCTGTCTTTCAAATGATTTTTTGTATCACTGCAAAGACACTGAGCCCCAACCAAACTATCCTTCAGAGTGGACCGTTTTTTCGTTAAGCAATGGATCGCTGATCGTTGGACAGTTAACTGAATATCAATAAGGTTAAGGATGACTACGATGAATGAATCACTTGCACGTCATAGACAGGTCTATACAACACTGGTTGCCCTGTGAATTTCTTTGACCTGTCTTTTCAGTAATGCCATATTTCTCCTACACAGTCGTTTAAGTAACCACAGTACATGAATAAAACGTGCGGTGGTAAATAAATCCCTAAAATAAATAGTCATACATGTCCTTGACACTGACCTCATTGGTTTTTAACTGAGAACACCCCGCTTTAAGATGCTGGGTCATTCATTCGTACCAGATGACGATCGAGTATGCCGTGCCACAATTCCCTTGAAATTACAAGGCAGCCTTGACCAAGGGCCTCTCAATAATATCAATAACTTTCCAACAACATTTTCTAACATCCTCATTTCTGAATTGTGGTTTGACCGGGTTAGCATACTTTGATTATAAAAGGTTTACGTGTGAAGCTCCTGTCAAACTTCAAATACCTGTGAGATCTTTAAATGAAAGTGTGATTCAGGTTAAGTATGAACCACGGGTTGTGATTATATTTAAACTAGGTGGTCACAATTCCCGTTCACTTTGAGAAGAGCTCTTCTTTCCACAGAGATCATCTATGCTAATGATCTGCAGATCATTATGTTGGATGACAATCAATAGTTCGATTCACAGTTTGGGGCTCCAATATTTGTACTGCCTGCATTGTATTTTTTTCACTCATAAAAGGAACCAGTTGTATTTCAGTAACAATCCGATTTAGAAAGTGACAGAATGAAAAATCTGGCCTCTTGGAATAATTTTTGGTTGCGAATCAAATACTGAAAAGTCACATATAAAACCATCCTTTATGCGTTTGTAGGAGATATCAAACATTCGCTCATAGTTTGAGAACTGTTTATCCTCGAGTAGCATATGCAACAGTGTTCTGGATTCATTAGGATACTTGAAACTTTGCAAAAGTATTTAAGAGGAAGGAATAAATTTCTTCGCTGTACCACGGATATCGAATAACCTTGGCACTTGGTTTTGTTTATTCCTGTCGATCTTTTGACCTTTGACAAACAATCAAAATGTTGCACTTTCAACACACATACTTGAAAACGTGATATAATTGATGTCAATGAACTTTAGCTGTATAAAACTAGTTTGGTTATAAATATGACTCACTCTTTATTTTTAAAAAACTATGAGTCTCTGATTTTTGTTGTTATTGTGTCGATTCTTCTCAATACATGTTATACGAACCTTACAAAAGAGAGATGTCAACGTGCTGTACAAGAAGCTCTTTCCATGGGATTAAGCTTTCCGCAGCCTGAAAAATTACCAATATTTTGTAAGTCATACGGTTAAATTCTTTGTCATATACCTAATTTTCGTCATTTGATATGACGAACATACGTATTATAATTATTTTTGATTTGCAAGAGATTTTGACCAAGAAAATTTCAAAAGATCGAGATGTTTATTCATGAACAACAACGCGGTTTTTAGATTTAAAGCACCTCTTAAACCATAAGTTATCAGTCAACTTGAAAAATAGTCCAATGGTTGTAGCTTGTGTATATGATCTAGAATGTATTCACTGTGTTTGACAAAATGTTCGTATGATACTGTATTCCGATCACTTTGTTGTGTTTTTTTATTGAGCAAACAAAAATTATTGAAATGGTATTCGCTTTTATATCAGTTCTTAGCTCTCGCTTGGATTTAGATTGAAAAATATGAACTTGTCAATGAATATAATTTAATCAAACAAGGCTTACGGAGAAAACAAAATGTCTGGTATAATATCTGTCATCGGTTGTTGAAGTATTCTGTTCGACCTTTCGATAATGTGTGCTTTTGAATGTGAATTGTCTTATATATGAGTTGGTAACACGAACTGAACAGCCAATGTGTCTGTTTAAATTTAGAAATATTGCTCATGTAAGCACAACCAATAGTGTTTGAATAATTTTCCGGTAAACTTTCATTTTACAGTGTTGATCACACAAGTATGATTGAGTCAACTTTGATTGAAATTTAAGTAACAGAAAATCATTTGTACATTGTACTTTAAGTGTATATGTAGGCGATACCACTATCATACTTTGTTTAAAAAATAGCTTAGGCTTTACAAACAAGAGTGAATGTCTGAAATTTGTTCGTAGCTTTTATTTCCCCTATATCTTTAAATGTGTCTAGTCAAAATAGACTGAACTGCTTAATCAGAAGCATGTACAGCTGACTGATGTTGGCTTCATTATCATGCATTCCTGGATCAGTTACCACGGTATAACTAGGTTGGTTATGTGTCGACATTCGTTTGCTTCCAGATCAACGTTATCGCTGACTAAAATTCAGTTTATTTTATTCATCGCATTCTTTCGATTTCTATTTCGTTAAGTTGGGTACATTTTGAGGAACAACAAACAACAACGTCTAGCCACAAATAGGCTTTTATTTTAATCAAGTTACTGGTTCCTTTTTCTCCCTTATCTTATGATAAAATACCACTGTAAAATCCAGGCAATCATGCCTCAAAATATATACAAATATGTGGCGAATTATTTTGAGTGTCTTTTAATATCAGTTAATTAAAAATGCTAAAGATATGTTTTCCTAGATGAGTGAGATATATCTTAATTTACGGTCAATAATTATCTGTGCTCTTTAAACTAATATACCACTCTAAAAATGTTAAATATACATACGACTATGACTTTGTGAATAGTTTTGCAACAAGGCAATATAATGGCGAGTTTGTTTACGTATGAAACCTAACCTGATCAAATTTTGATGACATCTTCCAAAATATAACACCTTAAGTTTATTAGCTCTTATAGACCCTGCTAAAATGGACACAGATTTAACGTTTTATTTGAGAGCAGACATCTTATTTCTGGTCATTACATAGTACCGGATCAACAAATGTTTTTAATAACTAGAATTAATAAACATAAATGGGGTAAACTCTCCTTGTTTATTTTAAAAACATTTTGTAACAAAATTAAATTTTCATACATTAATAGATCAATAACTTTTGTCAACATAGAAGTTGTGTGAATTCCAAAAGTTGCTTTACAAATCTATTTTTGTTGTTCATAGACATATCTTGGTAACAGTATCAATGCCTTTGAGCATGAAATGATTATTACTTTTTAATTTTTCACTGTTGTTCAGCACATCAAAAATAAAACTTATTCGTATCTGTATGTAGTCCGTAGAACTTATGTTGATCCGTAGTATATTCAGTAACGATAAGTAAAAGAGGGTCTTTAAAGTTCATGTCTTTCAAAAGTCTATGTTTTGAATCGCTCTTAATTATTTCGTAGTCTACACCACAGACGGATGTTTGCTAAACAATCCCTGACAATCAAGAAGGACTGTACAGCTGCTTTGTTTTGATATGAGACTTCTCAGCGATTTATATCCAGGACTTTATCAGGAATCTAACTCAAAACCCTCAGCACTTATATTGAGCATTTCACTCTTAGATCACAGAGTCACGTTATTTTTATTCTTGTGCTTCATGCTTCATACGTCGTTTATTTATTTTAAATGACAATTCCGCATACTGCCAGAGTTATGTTTCAGTACCAGTTATTTTAATGGTTTATTTCAACGAATCAGTCCCGCGAACACATGATTACGCTGCATTGTCGTGTGTAAGCCGTCGAATAATATTATTATCATATAAATATCATTTTAATGTCTGAAACGTAAGTTAATATTGAAAACAATTCACTCCACCTATATAATGGTAATATAAAAAGGTAATCTTTAAATTGAAATTAATTGTTTTCTTGCTGAGAAATGATATATATATTTAGGAATTTACCACATATATGCGATAAAATGTTTGTTACGCGTGGATTCAAACATGTGGCACTATTATCTAAATTATTTTAAGACAGGTGTATACTAGACTTCAAATTTAAAGTGCAAAAAAGCGTTATGTGTAAAGTTTAACAGATTGGTTGGGGTTACATAGGTGGTTACGTCTGCTAAAAATCTGTATGACCCAAGTTCAAATCCCACTGAAAACATCAGTCACCCAACGATCTCAGGTATGCCTTCCAGAATAGTGCCAACTAACATGATACCTAGGTCAAAAGTTGCCCACTGACGTTTTTTGACCGCCTAGCATCAAAACGTATTACAAGTAATTTTGAATAACTTAGAATGATGGATAGAATTCAGTCGAGATCACGAAATAAATAGAAACAATATCTGTTGCCGCTGAATAATTAGTCGTTATAGGGTGAGTTATGTTTGATTGCTAACATTAATGGTTAATCTCACAATAAATTTTTCCTAAATAGAAACTTGTTAAGAGGATATAAATCCAACCCTATTAAAAATGATGCTACATAATAAAATTAAAATTTGGTCATACACACTTTGTTCATTAAAATTCAACAATCTCCACGACTCTATTACTTACTTACTTAACACTGTTATTTCTCGCGAGGCATAGGCCGACACTGCACTGTGATCTTATTTTCGATTGCTGCCAAGTGCTGTTCATTCTTTTGATGTATATTTCCGATTCCTGTGCGGCGTGTTCTTTAATCTACCTTTTCCCCTTTGGTCCTGAGGATTCGAAGTTAGGGCTTGGTTCGTGATGTAATAGTATATTGAAACTTTAATTATCATTCAATGTTATAATGAAAATGTAATTTATAAATTTAATTTTTCCCTTTTATGCTTACCTTATGTTTCAACTTGATAAATCAATCTATCCCATTAATTTACAAGTTAAACATCTTGAATATACTCGGTGAATTTTTGTTAATGACATCAGTTTGTTATATTCACAACTAAACCGTCAGTACACTAACCTGCTTGATAACTTTCAGTTTGTATCAGTCATGTTTTATATTCCTTTCAGTGGATCAAAGAGAAACTGTTTTCCGTCGACTTTTTTTAAGTATTTTTAATATTTTAGTGGTCTTTAGTGCATAAGAGAATCCTAGTTAAAGGCGATGTTCTCTATCTCTAGCAAAGGTTGTTTTTTATTAGTTGGCCACATCAATTGTTTGTGTTTTCTTCCGTTGGTAGTTTTAAAATCTAGATACTGTTTTTCTTTATAAACGTTCCTTCATTGTTCCTGATATTGTCTGATTGACACACTGACAGTAATTGTGAAAATTTAAACGTGTCACAGAGTGAGCATAGTTGAACAAAAAAGAGAAATCAATTATTCGTTGAATATAATTCTATTCATTTTAGTTACGAAAGTAGACTTCTTCAGTTTGTGAATATTTATATGTATATCAACAATACTATTGAAATAGATTGTGTATAATGGTAAGCTAGCTAATATTGTTTTAAACTGTTGAATTTATTCCTTGATAGTATCACGAACGCTAGATTTACGGCAGAAATATATTTAGAGTTACTCATTTGATTTGCTTAGTAATTTTAGTACATTGATTTGCAGGAATATCGCTCATTTATTTTAAAGATTGAAACGGATCGAGGATAATTTTTACATCATGAGACTGATGCCATCTAAATAATCACTAAACATTACGAAGCAACAGAGAGCTGTTTGTTTGTCGTTTGAGACGGTCCAACGGTGTGGTTACATCGGAGTGAACCCGGAACTTTTTAGCTTATAGGTTACCGTATTGTCTGGAACTTACTAAGTTCTGATTTCCGATTTTAGTCAATTTGTGTTATATTTACTTTTATCACTTTGACACCAAACTTGGGACATTGGTCACTGGCCAGACATGACCAAATAACTCTATCATAGCTGATCCTTTCCAATTGTTGTCAATTGCTACCCATATTTTTGATGTTGATTTTCTATTCCCAACCCCGTGTTTTCTTTGGTCCTCATCTTTTCCTAACTCCATGATGGTTCTGTATTAGGGCTTGCCTTGCTATGCAATTTAATAGTTTCCATGGTGTATCCTATACATGCATATTGTTTTTTCTTAATTTCGTCCTCAGCTGGTAGCTAGTTTACTCCCTGCAAAAGCATTTTATTACCGATGGTTTCTAGACAATGTATCCAGATAACCTTTCTTGGACAAACTTTTATTGTCTTAGTTATGATGGCAACAGAAAAACACCCATACTTAAGTTATTTTTCTTCTGTCGAGGTTGTATCGAATGAGCTTCACTCACTCCAAATAGAGCTATGTTGTATCCTTTCATTTCCTCAGATATATGAATGATTATCCTCGTATTCTATATTGTTCAGTCATCTCATATACTCATATTAATCGTTTCTTCGGTTGTCATAAAGGGCATCAATCTAGAGAATTCCGAAAAATACTAGGTTTATTTGTGAAGTGTTAATACTCTTTTATATGAAGAGCCTTTAACTTTCAGAAGGTA